TTACACAGGCAACACTAATTTTGAACAAATTTTAAACACTCTGACAAGGATTTTTCCTCAAATGTAGAATTCATCACACCCTCCTTACATGGTGTAAATTCAATCTGTTCTGTTTGTATGACATAAACAACAAGCAGTTTCACAGGAATGAGGCAAACCATATGTGAAGGTGTTTTAGAAAGCACAACAGGGAATACACCAAGCAAAGAAGCATCTGCATTTATTTCAATGTCAAATCACATGTGTATTATAAAGGGAAAGTGTATTGTTTTTATTAAAAATCAAGTTTACTATATTGTACTGTTTACAGTTAACTCTTCCTGCCCCTCAGTGTCCTCATCAATTTGGAAAAAAAAAAAATCAGCAGGTAAAATCATAAAGTCTACAGGTGCAGAGCAGGGTTGCAAAGCGGTCTTTAACCCCGTCCACCCTACCCAGACTGGCCTATGCTGCCAAGAACCTATTTCTTCTCCACCCTTCCCCTTGGACAGGGCCTGCATCTACTCCTGACAGCTGCAAGTGAGAACCAAAGCCTGGACCACCCTTCGTAGATTACCAGAGTCATAAGAATATAAATCCAGGTAGGATTTATTTCTTACTTATAGCTGGGTGCAGTGGGACACTGGCTCGTCTCCAGGACCAAGATGCTGTCTGATCTTGCACTGGTGCTGCACCGACCAGCCTGCAGCCAAGCTACCATGGGCAACGCGCAGCACTGCTGCATGTGGTGTTGGGTATTCCCCCACAAAAGGCAGCGCCTTACAATAAATTATTTTTATAGAAGTTGGCCAGAGTCAGCTTAACACATTTGGAGTTCAGGAGAAAATATTTCAAAGAGCATTTTGTCTGAGTATGAGCTACAGGCATGTTGTTAAAAAGCCAGTTGCGTGGAGACAAAGGATGATCGTTACTTTTATATTAGTGTGGAATATTAACCCTTAAGAGCTATGTTTGATGATAAGTTGTTGGTGATTGAAACTGCTAGTTCATTATTTATGTTTAAACTCAAGCTTGAAGATTCCTAGAGTCACAGAAAGAGTTTATATCGTTATTTTTTGTATTAAGACAGATGAAGGTTTTTGAAATATGGGATCTTTCTCCTATCTCCTCTAAAACTATGCATAAAAAGCAGTGTTAAAGTGCTGAAGTGCTGAAGTTATTTCTCAGATCTGTATTTTTTATGCAGTTTCAGGAAATCTGGCTTTATAGTTACAAATAACCATGAAGAACATTTTTTCCTCAGATTTTGAGTGTTTCAGGGAACAGAAGAACGGGGCTAGAGAGTTTTGACAGCAGGTTTTGGGCTGCAAGTGTCAAAATTCCTACAAACATTTTCTCTCTCAAGTTTATAGGTCTCCCCTGTCTTATGTAGACAATAGCCACTAAAAATATGTATGTTCTGCTGCAGGTTACACAGGATTTAGTTCCAGAAACACAAGTTCCTGAGAGAAGGGAGATTCAGAGATGCTGTGGTGCAGGGCAAGGTCCTGAGGTCGGCTCTCCAGGAAGGTCTGCAAAGCTCTCAGTGACCATTTAGCAGATACTAGGCTGTGACCCCGGCCAATCACTTCAGCAGCGTGCACCTCCCTGTAACATATGACCACGTTCCTCTGTTGGCTTAACCTCTTCTCTCTCCTCTTAGGTGTTAGACTCATCCTCCTCACCACCAATTCACTGGACCTAAGCAAAAGCCTGCTGCTTTCAGCAAGGCTTTATGTAGGCACAGTGGAAAAGTTATTCATGTAGGCTGCAAAATCGAAGCTGAAGGCTGTGGGCTTCTGCAGCCAGGATGATTTTTTATTACATATGTGCATAATGCCCACTGTAAGGAGGTTTGACTATGGCCTACGGACGTGAGACACCACTGTCAAATTAATATGAATGAAAAAGGACAAGCATGCTGTAGCAATGGAAACAAAAACTATCACAATTATCAGAAAAATATTTGTGATCACAAAAGAATATTTTGCTCATACTCGCTAGTCTCCCCTTTGGCAAGCCCTGCAAGAAGAGAGAAGATGAGAAAGAGGAAAGAAGAGAGACAAAAATACATGTGGGGGGCGGGGGGAGAAGAGAGAGACTGAGACAGAATGGATACCTTTAACTTGTCACAGTACAACACTAGCTTTTAATTAATACAGGCTATGCACAACTTTGAAGACTTGGTTGTGTACTATTTTATGATAAATACATTTTATGGGATTTTGTTTTTAAAGAGGATTTTGTAAAATAACCTTGTCCAATAAATGATTTACCAGCTGCAGTAAAAGATCAAGGAAATTGCTCAGATTGCATCTTGGAGCATCTAAAACTCTGAAGTTTATGGAGATCTAAGCTGCCCCCAGATCTACAGTCCCATTAAAAAATTTTGTAGTGGCTAATTATCTTGCATTGCATTTTTAAAAGGTAGCAATCCTAGCAGAGAGGAAGGTCTGGAAACAGACAAAGAGGAGTTGGTGCCCTTTGATGGAGAAAGTATGAGAGAAGGAAAGGACAAGAGACAGACAGGAGTGAGTAACAAAATAAACATTGTGTTGGTATGGTAACAAGTGGAAATAACAACTCATAAGGTAACGGATACTCCTTTGATCACAAAGGGAAACTGAATTACCTCTAAGTTTAAAAAAAAGTATTGTTGGGAATACATTCTTTATGTGGCATGTTATGCGTACTATCTATATTACTTGACCAAGAGTTGCGTTATTTGTTTTCTTATTTTTTTCTTTCTGATAGAAATGACATTTTACCACAAGCAAAGCAGAAAGCAAAGAAACGATCTCTAAATTCTCTTTTGTCCTAGCCTCATGGGACTTTCACAAAATAAACAAGTAAATAAAGCAAGTGCTGGTCCTTATTTCAAACAGGATGACAGAGACAGTAAATAGAACGGCATATTGAAATAATAAAATACTAGCCTCAGCTGTCTTCACAGAAGGACAGGCAGCATAGTCACCATGAAGCATGCCTTGTAGCCTTTGTTTCATACCAGTAATATACAGTTCATGCCCTGTAACTTACTGTGCTCAGGCATACCTCTACCCCACAGGGAACCCCAGCAAAGCCAGTGTCCCCACAGACATGGGGCTCCTAAGTCAACCAGGCTTCCTAAGAAAGGAAAAGAAAAAGCAAAAGGAAGAAAAAAACATTGTTTTTTCTTGGTCCCCAGGTCAGGCAGAGAGGTGCATGCCAATTTAAAAAAATCCGTATTCCCTCTGCTCCTATGGTCACCCTGTGCAGTTGCAGAGCCCGTGGCTTCAAAGCCTGGGGCCAGGCTGCTGAAGGGACAGGGACCAGAAACTAGTGTGTACTCCAGGAGTGCTTCAGTGACTCAAGGAAGGAGGGACTGGGGCCCCTTTCCCAACACTTTCAATCTGAACAACTTTGAAAAGAATAAAGGATCAATGCAGCCTACTTTAAATGTTAGTTGTATCACTGTAACTCTACAAGACCCAGAAGAGAGACAGTGAAGTTCACCACCACAGAAAGCAAGCACCTTGAGACAGAAAATGTTGATGATAATTTCATTAATTTACTTTGAAAGATGAGGTTGGTAAAATAAAACAATGGGAGTTGGATGAATACTGCTACTCTAAAAACTGTTCTTAAATTATGGACAGGATGGGGGAGCCCTTAATTGTCCAAAATAACCACGATTAATCCAGCAGAATTATGGCAGTCTAATTATAAGATTGTGTGTTATTTATCCTCTTGAATGAGACTCCTGCAACCTAGGGCTGACCACCTCTAGGCTAGAGTTCAGATTTCTATAGTGAAAATGCACTTTGTGTCTGTAGGATCTTTACCTAACTTTCTGGCAAACTTTAAAGGCACCGAGTGAACGTAGCAAGTGAAAGCAGGGAATGACAGCCCTAGTGATGCTGAGGGCTGCTTGACTTTCCTGGTTAGATAATCCTGCTTTCAAATGCTTTGATAGGGAAGTCATTTAAAACTAAATTTTCACAGACATCCACCTTATTCTGATGCCTGTTTTCTGGATGCTTTATTTGAAACTCTAGGGGGTGATTTGCAGAAAACCATAGGTGCCAGAGATGTTCATTACAGCTGGGTTTTGAACACCCAAAACACGACACAGAGCTATGCAAAAGACTATCAGATAGTTTTATTTAGTGAAGGATTGGCACTTCATTGTTTTCTACTAATTACAAATAACTGTTCAACTTTTGCAATTACCTAGAAGATTAAATCCCAGGAAAAATAATTATAAGTAAATTAAAATATTTCATTTTGATGCAGTCTTTTTAATTTCACTTTAATATCTTTTTGGTTTAGGTCATTCCCCTAAGTGTATTTTATAACAGAGTAAAGCAATAATATTTCAAGTAACATCCAAGAAAAGTAGTGCTCTTAAAATGCTGAAAAGATTTTGCTGGAAATCCCCTTTCATTTCTTCCCCAACACAGCTTCTCAAAGCAAAACAGCAATGTCAAAATTGCATTCTCAGCCAAAAAAAGTGCTCCCAGATTTTTTCTAATCAACTTCAATCATAAATAATACTAACGAGTCAAAGAAAATCCAGGTCTTTGGCTAGAAATATCTTACCTCATATCCCTATCTGTCAAGGTGAAAATACACCCCTTCCTTACTTCACAATTGTTTTGTGAAGAAAAAGTGACTCTTATTTGTAAAGTTCTATTGGGAAGCAAAACACAAGGAAATCAGTGATTCTGAATTCCAGGCAGGGTCTTCATGTTGTAAATAAGGCCAGGGCCATAGTGACCAAAAAGCAGAAAATAAAATCTTTAATGTTTACACAAATAAATAGCACATAAAAATAAGTTTGGTGGAAAAATAGCATATGATGCCATAATCACAACATGCATGCACAAAGGGCACAAACTGACACTGTTTAGATAATTGTCAACCTATGTGTTGGATTTTGCAGCCTAATAACATTCATCTGAATTTAGATACCTCTATAATACAAGAATAACAAGGCATACTTTGGGGTTGTGAAATTATCTGGTGCTGAGAGTACTTACCATACAGAAAAAGTGTATTTCTCTAACTCCTCCATGTAAAAACTGCTCTCTACAGATGCTTGCTCTTCTTCTGGGCTTGCATTATTCCCAGGATCTGATTTCTCTTGATAACGTTGGTCGGGTGGATTATTCCAGTTGAACTTTAAATGAAAAGAAAAAACAAGTTAGAACAGTAAGGTAATAAACTGGGTACAACCAGCACGGTAAGAACTGCCCACATCACCCTGTTTTGAACTCCTAGCTCTATTTTACTCCTAGTGGAAAACAGCAGTGGCAAAGCTGGCTCAAAATGCTTAAGAATAGGATAGACTAGACTATTTCAGTTAGAAGGGACCTGCAATGATCGTCTATTCCAACTGCCTGACCGCTTCAGGGCTGACCAAGTTAAGCCATGTTATTAAAGGCACTGTCCAAATGCCTTTTAAACATTGACAGGCATGGGGCATCAACCACCTCTCCAGGAAGCCTGTTCCAGTGTTTGACTACCATCTCAGTAAAGAAATGCTTCCTGGTGTCCAGTCTGAGCCTCCCTGGTGCAGCTTTGAACCATTCCCGCACATCCTGTCACTGGATCCCGGGGAGAAGATATCAGCAACTCTGCATCTGCTTCCCCTCTTCAGGAAGCCATAAGAGCATGAGTGCCCCTCAGCCTCCTTTTGTCCATACTAGACAAGTCCAAAGTCCTCAGCTGTTCCTCACAGGACATTCCTTCCAGCCCTGTCACCAGCTTTGTTGCCCTACTCCAGATGCATTCAAGGACCTTCACATCCTTCTTAAACTGCAGGGCCCAGAACACACAGAGCATTGTTCAGTGTATTGATTTATGTTCTTATTAGGCTGTGGTTTGACAAACCTTCTCAAGGAAGCGTAAGCTCGTGCTTACACCAGAAGAAGTCATCCAGCCTTCCTCCACCTGCTTGTTTTTTCCTGTGGTGCACACCAACAGCACAAAAATTTGGACATCCGCATACTAAAACATACAGAAGGAACTGATCCAGGAAGGGAATTAATGCCGGTTGGCCTCTTTCTTTTCTTTTCCTTTAATTAACTGGGTTAGCTCTCAGCTGGACCCATTCTGATCCAGGCCACCCTGTACTGGTGCCAGCACAAGGGAGGAGAGGGACAATGCTGCATCTTTCAGTGCTAGTGCCAGTTTCTGCTGATTTAAACTACTCCTTGAGCTACAAAGTACAGAATGTTAATCAGTGCTCACCTCTGAAATAACATTTTTGCACATACAGGGCCCGATTCGGCACTAGCATCGCCTCTCTCTGGAGTGACTGGCAGGTTCCTTGTATGCTTGGCATTATTGCCCCTGGACAGAGATAAACATCACTTCCACCAAGAGGCACAGTGAGGTCATAACTTCCCAGACAAACATCCACAAGAGACTTCATGAAGTTACTTATTAATTCCTTCCTAGGCACAGTACCAAACTCTGCAAAGGGTTTGTTAACATTTAGCGAACAAACCCAATGAGAACAAAGGGATGGAAGTTAAAACCTGTTATGTTCAAACTAGAAACAAGACTCCCTCTTTGTTCTTTCTTTTAGACAGGGAAATGGGAAATATACTGTTTAGAGGTAACCACAAAGGAAAATTTAGGTTCTCCATTCCTTGATGCCAATTTTATGGAGCAAATGGTTGAAATTTTCTAGACTATGCTAGAAGTTAACCTGTATGATTTAAGGTCTGTTTTGACTTTCACATTTATGAAATCCATAATGAACAAAACATTCAGGTTTAATCTGCAGATCTCAAAAAGATCTCAGAGTTCCACAGGGAACACAACACTGGCATTAGTTGCAGTCACACTACTATACACTTTGCTAATTATGAGAGCTACAAAGGTTTTTTTTTTTAACTCAGTAAACCATTTTGCTCTACAAGGCAAATTTGTGTCCTGAAGCTTGGATTACACAGACCTCACCCAGATTTTGAATTTAAGACTCATAGTTAGACATAACTTCATATCCATATGTTGTTGGAGGGCAACAGCAGTTCATATCCATACCTACATAACGCTAAATACGGTTATCAGTAAATATGATACAATCATCATACTTTTAGCATCACTGGAAAATCTTTCACAAGCAATGGAATATATTGTCAAAAACTGATTCTATGTAAACATGAATAGTTAAGGCAGAATAGAAGCAGGTAACATGCTCAAAGCTGTTTTCAAATACTAAGACTAGGCAGCTACAGATAGCCCTGCTTTTCACCTAGCCACATGACTGCCCAACTTAATTTCCTAGAAAAAGTCAAGATTTCAGAGTAGGTGGTGTGTGCAAAGCACCTGGCTTGTACTGATATTCTCCCCATGAAACTATTCCTGTGAAAAGTAGATATAAAAATATTATTTAATATATAAATCCCAAAGGTGTTAAAGAGTATTATGAGTGAATTTCTCCGAGACTGTGTTTGATCTCGTCTGAAGTATGAAAGCAGAAGCTCAGTCCCCTGCATGAGGATAGTATCATGGCCACAGAATATATTCTACTTCTCTCAGATGTCACTGACTAGGTGTCCTTCATAGCCACCATTCAATATCTTGAATGGTGAGCACGCTCATTGCAACAAAAACCAAGTTGTCACTAATGCCCATCACTCAGAAACTACTCAGTGGGAGACTATTTGTAACTACTTAGCATAGACTAATTTGGGGGCTGAATTTGGGGGCGGGGAGAGGGCAAAGCAATAACACCTTTGATTTTGCTGACATATCATATATTCCCCAAAAGGGTGAGGTCAAACCCAAAGGTCTGTTTTCTTTCGCTACAAAAAAATTAACAAAAAAATCTATTTACAAAAAGAAAAGAGACAGCTGAGGGGAATAATCCACTACATGAATTTCCATTTTCTGCCTTAAGTCTGTTCTTTACATTAGTCCGTAATTGTTTCAAATATGTGATTTTTCGGGTAAAATTATTTTAGAAGATGGTTTCAATTCCAGAGATACAAAAAGGCCAAAACGACTTAATTCAGACCAAGTGTTTAAATCTTGAGCATGCTAAAACAAGGATGTCTCTGAAAATTAGGGTTCACTTATCCCATTAAAAGAGGGGCTTTTACAACCTTTGAAAGGAGGTTTCACATGCTCACATGTCTTTTGTGCAGACGTATTCTCATAAGAGATTTGGTTCAGAAATCTATTTAAACATGTCAATAAGTGTAAGCTTGTCAGTCATTTCACTGAGTCCAAAGGGACTAGACGGAATTACCCACATTCTTACGCACCTTACTGAAATCAGGTCACTTTAATGTGGCTTTGAAAGCCACCCACAAGTGAGGTTCCTATAAGAGTGTGGCATTTTGTTCAAAGGCAATGTGCTATTATGGGATTGCAGGAAATGAATTTCACTCTACCACTCCCATGGGCTGGGTTGCTTTGCCCATTACACCCTCTGCATTAGTCCTTAAATCAGTCCTTCTATAGATGTAAGGCCACACACACACACATGAACACATCAGTCTGCAGTTACGTTTATATGTAACTCTGGTTTATCCACATTATCTTTATCTCTTTAAAGAAATAAATCACTTGATAACTCAGTCATTTAAAATGGAGGTAATTTCCAGTTGGCCAATCTGTTTTTGCTCGTAGATATTTATATGCAGATCATCACACAACTAAAGTCAAAGTTGCGATACTAATTCCCAGCTATTGAGTATTTGTACCACAATACACGTGCAGGTATAAACACATAGTATCAACTTTGTGAGTACTCTGAATACAGTGATGACTTTTTTCCATGGGCAATTAAAAGCATTAAAAATGTTTCAGAGTACATTTAGAACAGGGTGAGACAAATTGCCAGAACAATTAATTTGAATATTCATGTTTGCAGTTACAATTCACCACAGCCATGCTGATCTAAGGAGAGAAGTGGAGCAACACTTACAAAGAAAAATTGCATCCTTCATTGGAAAATATCTAATTTAGAACAGATGATGCAGGTAGAAGCAATTCTCAGGAACACAGCATCTTCTTTGTATCTTAGTTCTCAGGATTTACACTAAATGGGAAAGTTCCAGTAGTATCTCGCTCAGAAAGTGTTTTCATGATGCAGATGTGATTTCATGGTAACTTATACTGATGACACAATATTTGTTCACAAATTGATTTTGTCCTTGACCAACACATTACATATAAAGATATTAAAAGTATCTGATGGTAGGGGTGTTCTGCACAAGGGTGTGAGAGTCTGAAGGTTATAGATGCATAGGAAATCTACCTTATATTTAAACACTACTAAAATAATATCATCGTGCAGTGCAGCTTTGATCAAGCTGCTGTTGTCTGATTACAAGATGGTCTTTCGTACTACTTCTTTGAAATTCCTTCGCGGGAGAGATTAGCTCCCTATAGATCTAAGCAGGAGACAGCAATACTCCTGACCATGTGAGGCCTTATGGTAGCTGTAACAAAATTCACAATGGCAGATTAAAGAAACACAACAACAAGCAGCAGCATGCCCACAAATTGCTCCTAAATGACGCAAGTAGAAGATCCACCACGCACTTTAAGGGAGATGGTGGCATTCAGGCTGAGGCCAGTACCTTGTGATGTCCTCCTTGGACTCCCTTTGGCTGAAATGAGCCACACTGCCCATCTGCACTGCCACAGCAATCTTGGTAGAAGTCATCCTCTGTAAGGAAGAAAAAAAAAAAAATATATCTATGCATAAGACCAAGCTATGAAAAGGAGCTGGGTTTCGTTCCCTCTCCCACCAAGATCCTCCGTGACTCCAGGCAGGTCATTTTTTCCCCTCTGTCCTAGTTACAAATAGGTGGTTAGTTTTCTCCTACCTTCCAGAAGTTTTAGGATAATAAATGCAGAGAAGACTTTAGATACCGTAGTGCTGGAAATAACAGTTGTGTAGATACGGAGCAGGGGAAAAAAGCAGAAATAAATAAATAACAGACACAAGAAGAACGACAGTGAAGGGTGTTTTAAACACCTCACGATATGTTCTTCAGAAAAGAGAAGGAAGTTCATTTTCTTGTATAGGCATGGTTGTGGCAGGATTGAGAATGAGACACTGGGATCTAAAGTACTCATGTTTTCTAAGCAGTTTTTACTCAAGTAGTGTGTCCCTCAAACTCATGAAAAACAGTGACCTGTGGAGTGAACAAAAATGTACTCTGACCTCATAGGAAGCAGTGATGAGATGGAAGTAAAGGTCCATATTACAATTCCTAATGTACAGCACGTAGAGGATAAGACAAAAATATACTTAATGATTATTTTACTTTATTTTTTTCTGTTACCTGCACTTCCCTTCAGTAAGAGACAGTCAAGTGTACTTAAAAATCACAGTACAGGCAGGATCTGCTCTTAGCTGTTGTAGTTGTAGATATACAATACGCACGTAGACAATATCACAGCTTTGAGCCTGTATGTTTGAGTATGTAACTGTGGATATCTTTCTATTTCTTACTTTCTATATGTATACGTATGTATAGGTGTATATATGCTGAGCATTCATAGTGGATGAGGTATTTACAGGTTTTTACATCATCTGGGGCGAAAGAAGAGGCCTACTGAAACCAGTGAAACTGCATGTGTGCACAGCTGCTGGGTATGTCACGTGTGTGCACACATGCAGCATCAACAGTTCAAATTGTCTCCACATTCCATATATGGGATACATGTATGAACCCATAAACACATATTAAAATATAAACATACCTTCTTAAAGATGGTTACTGTGGCTTTCTTTGTTGTTTGATTGTTATTTTTTTGTTGGCTCTCAAAATTGGGTTTCCAAATAGCTTTGCTGAAATAATGAAAGCTTTGACAATGTTTTTGGAGACAAATTAATAAAGCAGTAATTACCTTGGCCAAAAAAATAGCACAATAAAAATAATAAAGAAAACAATATTCTATATTTAAGAAATAGGAGGGAGAAGGAACTCAAGTTTGTTATTTAATCATTACATGCTCTTTTTATATTTTATTTGTAAGGCTCTGAATGCTCTTTTCTTTTTATATCAGTGAGCTCATTACTTTAATTCCTCATAGATTTCTTTGAACAATTTTTGCTAAGTAAAAACACAATGTAATTCAATGGCTGTAACAGTAAGAAGCTGCTCAAATTAAAGATCAATAAAAAGTACAGAAAAAATCTGTATGAAAATAAATAAATAAAGGAGAAGATGGGAAATGCTTGCAATTAGACAGGATAAAAAAATCTTAAAAGAAATTAAATTTAGTTGTAATACATTTCCCATTCTTTTCTTCATGAAAATTACTACTGAAGTGGGTTTTTTCTGTAATTTAAATGTTAAGCTGCCAGATGTGTGTCTCATGCTTGAAGAGTTGAAGCTTTGCATTATTTAGCATATTAAGATTCACAGAATTTAAAAAAGGGCTCCTTTATTGCCTGGAGGTTCTAATTAAGTAAACCTTAGCCTCGTACATTTAAAACTTGTACTACAAGAGATTTTGCTTCCTTTTTTTTCTCTGCAGCCAAGTCTCATCAATATAATAAATATGGAAAATACTTAAGATGATATAATTTTTCTTTGGCTTGAGGAATTAAACCTATCTATTATTTTAAGAAGTTTTTAATAGAGGCCAGCAATCAGAAAGACATTTAAAGACTCCAGTCTACTTTTTAATCATAGAAGTTGCTCTTGGTCGGGGGGAAACATGTCTTATAAAACTGAACTATGTAGAAATTGTTTCTTCCACATGCACAAAATAAAGGACTTCTGAGGAAAAAACAAGAATCACACAGGTTTTTTATTACTAAATTGCATTTTGCTTTTTTATAACTTGTTATAATTGACCACAGAAAACTAGTAAAGTATTAATTAGCTGTGCTATCAGCAATTTGTTCATTGCAGGAGTTGGGATGGCTACATCAGAAGCTGTAATAACATAGAAATTCCTTTGACAGACAGTACCCATAAATCATACCTTAAATAGAGTTATTTTTGCCATTTTAGAAAATGTCAAGGGTGACAACTTTGTCCAGATATAGCACTTAGCAGTGACTATTTTAGCAAATTGACTCAAAATACATTTTGTTTCTTGACAGGGGAACATAATACCATTCATAGTAAAAATGAACAATTTGAGGAGGAGAAAATAGCATCAAGAATGACCAAAGACAGGTACCATAGCTATGATAAAGGTAGAATGGCAGGTGTAAACTCCCTGTTAATAGGTTTATTTGGAAGTCAACAAACATATACATAAGAGCAGGAAAATGTGATTACACCAGGGCCTGGAAAAGACCATAAAATTCTTAATACAATGCTATAAATCTGTAATCGGGTATTAATAAGAAGTCTAGCAGAATACTTTTAATGCTGCACTTTTCTACAAAACAAACAGGAAAAAATGGGTGTCATTCCCCGCCCCCTGCATTGTGAAATGGTTGTAACAACACTAATGTCTGGATTTAGGAAAGTATGGTGAGATGGAATTCGTTTCCAGACCTTGATAATGCTGAAAGAGGTCTTGTTTCTTGGTGATATTAAGTCACAACAAAACAGTTTAGATGTTACACAGCTCACACCTCATACAGGATACAAAGATAATGTCACTTGTACCAAGACCCTCGGTTCAGCTGGGACCTACGTTTTTAGAACAGGATGGAAAGAGGTTAGAAACTAAAATATTAGTCTACTCTGTTACCTTTGTCAGCATCAGCCTTCTTGGGGCAACAGCTGAGAGTGGTAGCATGACCTTTAATAATGGTCTTACTGCTTCTTAACCCATGTAGAGTATAATGAAATCTTTTTAATCATTCACATTCAGTCTGGAAGTTATTCTCTTTGATTATGTCTTCTGTAACAAGTACTGTGGTGCAACAGGAGTGGATCTGTAGAATGAAACCAGCAGTTCAGAGGACAACACTAAACACTGGGGGTTCCACTCTGTGTTGAAAAGTTTGTGTCAGACTAGCTCTAGTCTGGTCCTGGGAATTGATGGCCCATTCATACTTGATCCAGTGCTTGTCTTCCAAGATCAGTCTGTGATGAGAACCAGAGAGCAGCAACTGGGGCAGGGCACTCACTTCAGAAGTGCCCTAAAAACCTAAATGTTAATGTAGACACGCCCTTTGTTAACCAGGGTTAGAGGGGAGTGGGAAACAGATTCTCTGTGATGTGAAACTTTCAGAGGCTGCATATAGAGCTCTGAAATTTTTATGTATTTAGGGGAGGGGAGAACTTTAAAAATTTAAAATATGGACAAAAATCCAGCACAGCTAGGAAATTACATTGATTTGGTGGGAAATACTTCTGTCTTATATGGAGGCAAAGCACAGAAGGATGAAGCACACTCCCTTCTGATGGCTGCAACCTCTCTTTCAGCCAGGAGGAAAAGATTTGAGAGTGGTGCCATCCAGGAGCAGGGCAGTAGACAAAGAAATCACCAGCTTGGTTAAATTACAGCAGAGAAACAGAAAATAACGTGAAAATCCTATCTGGACTCCCTCCTTAGTAATACCCTGGCCTGTGGGAAATCAAAGCATGGCAGGAGTCAGAAAAGAGAAGAGTTTGGATAATGTGAATTGCACAACTGTAAACAGGAGCTGGATTTGATCCTATCTGCAAGAATTGACCCAATCCTTTACCCAGTCCTGCTCAGAGGAGGAAAAGACTAGGAGAGGAAGAGAAGGTTCAGCCATCTGAGGCTCTGCCTCTGAGGCTCTACTTGTAGAAAAACTGAAGGGCAAGCAATCCTTATTTTAAAACATCACTTTGTTCCATTTAAAGTAGCACCCATGAGGAACTACCAATGAGAATAGCTTTGGGTTTTTTGGTTTAGGTAATTATTTTTACATCTGCATACGACTGTTATGTAGAAGCAAACAGCATGTCAGAAGAAGAACCCTGTTGCAGTATAATGAGAAATATGGCAAGGAAAGTTCACCAGTTTTCATGAAATTGTTTCAGAAGCAGCTGTGAGCATAAATACAAACCTCCCAACAGAACCCACACAAACATGTTTTAACAAATGAAAAACTTTCTTTTCAAAGGTAATGAGAAAACTATAACGAAGCTGTCTTTGTGTTTGGCATTTTGATATAGAGGGGACATCTTAATATGCTCTGAATAAATTTCTGAGTGTTATCTGCTAGTGTACTAACTGCTGTGATATCCTGATACCATCTTTGCTTAGATGTTATTCTGAAGCTTTGTTCAGAAAGAAATGTTGTTTGATGTCATGAAAGGACACAATTCACTTCCCAACATTTTTCCTCAGGTTCAGAGAGGGTTTTTAATTGAATATCTAAAATATGATCAATATTTAATATCTAATTTTCAATATTCAGTTTATTTTAGAAGAAAGGCATTGAGTGAAAGAATTCTTCTGAACTAGAAGGTTTGAAAATCAGGGGCTAAAATTTGTCCTGGGTGTACCGTAGAAAGGTGATAGAGCAGAGGGTTGAAAGAACAACAGAAGTGGCGTCAAACTCCAAAAATGGGCAAAATGCAAGCTGCTTGTAACAGGCTGAATAACAATAATTACAATAAATATTTTATGCGTTTCCAGGGTATTTACTGTGGTACATGCATAAAGGGGGGCTTTGAAAAAAGAAATCAGACTTCATATGAGAGGAAGGCTAGGGAGCAGCTGCCTGCTGGGATAAGCATTGGTGAGGAGGAAAAATGTAGGCACTGTTGAAGCTCAAAATTAAACGTCAGTTACAGTATAAATCCTAGTTTATACGTGGTTCTGCAGAAATCTGGGGATTTCAAAATGAAGCTTTTTATCCCCTCCCTAGTTCTGAGTGCAGTTATTTAGTTTAGTGGATACATTACTGCCAGTGTTCCTCCACAGAAAACCTGTGTTTTAGTGACATGCCTTTTGAAACCAAAGTTTTGTATTAAATTAACACGTAATAGATTTAGCAAGTACAAGAAATTGAACTTGTCAAGAAAAACTTCTGAAGTCTTGCAAATAAAGATAAGCAAGAATGTTTTTCACCTAATTCGAATCCATGGGTGCTTTTGGAGAGCTGCATGTCGTTCAGGTAAATTCCCTATTACACAAGATCCTTTTTTAAAATCCTCAGTAGATTACAGTATTATCTCTTAGAGTATACTGAGTCAGATTCTCTGATAATGCAAAACATTATACATTATATTTGAATACAACCTTGCTTGGACAAAAGTTGTAGTAATTCAGTACCTTTCAAAATCAGCCCACTTCTGTAGCTGATTTTTTTCAAGTTATTTGTAAAAGACCCTCTTGAGTTGAAAATGTGGGCTTTGTGTGGCGTTGCATCTCTGCCAGACTCCACATAACTAATTTGAATAAAAATTCAACATGGTAGTTTTAGACCTAGAGAAGCATTAGTGATAGGTGTAGGGGGAAGAGGGGAGAAGGAATAGATGTCTACTAATTAATAATTGGGTTTTGAGACGTATATTCTAAAGGTGGAAGTATCCAAATGTTGGCAAGGAAAACAAATTAGCAAAAGATTTAAAAAGCAGCCAAAAGCAAGCATCAAATACCATTAAATGGTATCTAAAACATTTATTCATGCAAGTTACTCATGTTTTAAATACTGGGATTAATCTAAACTCCTTTGTATATCTAATGTTGAGCAAATTAATTAAATGAACTCCAAAGTAGATTCCACTAACATAAAAGTTGGGAAAAGAATTCTAAGCTAGGGCTGTGACTACATTCTTGGAAGGACTAATGTATGGAAAAGACATATTAATGAAGTGTTGGTCTTATTAGGAGGTATATTGAGAACCCTTGAAAGATTGGAAAACTTTATTATTTTTTTCTGTAGCATTCTTAAGCTTTCTTCACCAACATCACTTAACAAAAATTGATACCAGCTCTGTATTCTACTTCTTACATATGTATGAACGTCAACATCAATACTCAGCATTTATGAATCCTAACTCAGCAATGCCACGCTAGCCCCCTTACCTGTATTTGTGCCTGCTTAACGTAAGGTATTCAACAAAAGTACCTATAATAGCAGATGGATAGTCCTAGGCTTCTTGGGCAGTCAGAGAAGGACAGCTCCACTGTAGTTTTTGAACTACATTTCATATGTTGCTGCAAAAGGAAAGCTGGCATGTCAGTTGGCTTCAAATCAGCATCTAAAATTCTACTGCATAATTCTGGGGAGCCCACAGACTTGAAGATAACTGCAAACTACTCTTTACACAGATAAGAGGTAGCCATCAGACCTCAGGTGGCTCTCTCTTACCTAATATTTTTCAGTTCAATATCTAAACACGACTCACTATAGCCTCCTAGTACAGAAGGAGAGTCACTCCCTTCAAAAGGAGGGATTAATTTGTTTTCGCTCGCACTTTCAGCTCTCTCTACACAACAGCCAAGTGAGTGAGAATTGCCCTAAAATGAAAGCTGACCCTCACTTTGTTTGTGGTGGGTGGGAGAGTCACGAGCAATAGGTACAACTGTGGATTTCAGGCTGGTTCCCGATGCCTTCTCTGCTGCCTCAGCAACTCAATCTGCCTATTCATCCTAAATGCCTGTACCGTAACCACAATGGCCGGCTGGCACCCAGGGGTAGATGCACAGGCACAAGAACAAAAGGAGCATGGGCAGCAGCAGTTTCTGTACCTGCATAGCCATTTTCCTATTGTAGGACAGAGAACACCGTTCACTATCCAGGTTACTAAGTGCAGGTGATTATCTACAATCTTGGTACCTTCAGATCATCCCTGTCCTGTGGTAAATCTGCCTCTGGCCAGCATGGTGGTATCCGAGTTTAGGACAGGCTAGGGGTTGTGTTGCTCAATTCTCAGACAGACATGTTTTGCCTGGGATTTAAAAAAAAAAAACCAACAAAGCACTCCAACTTGCAAGGCTTTGCCTTCAAAAGAAACCCCACATCGCAGAAGCAAATGCCACCTGATGTTAATAGACAGGCACTCTTATGTAATTTAGCTCAGCACAATTAATAAAGGATATTGTTATCAACATGTTACAGGAAGAAAAAATACTTCCCAAGCACCTAACAACAACATGTTGTGATCCATGGATATAAATGACCAAATAAAATGAAAGGATGTAAAAATGTCACAGAAACACTAGTCGTAATCTACTGTTGTCAGTGGATTCCACGCACACCTTGTAATTACTAACACATTTGGCCTACGAATACTTTTTAGACAGGGGAGCCCACCACTTCTGTACCTTTTCGCCTGAGCTGCTTTTGATCCCTCACAATTGATTTAAACTCTTCCATTGCTCCCTTTGCCTGGTGAAATAATGATGAGATGATATCGCAGGGCGAGGGGGAAGGGAGATGGAAGTGTATTTACACACATACCAAGTAGACCTGTTTGCAAACTTTCAGTAAATTAAGTAATGCAGTAAAAGTCCTAACCTGCTGGAAGCATTTTAAGCTCGTCTCTTTTCCTCCCAGCTTCTTCTGTCACACACACTTCTCCTCCTTTAGCAGCATTAAACTGCTTTTCCACTTCCTTTACAACAGTGGGAATACTTCCCCTATGGGTGTCAGGATCTTTCAGGGAGGTCAGAGGTTGCCCTGCAGAGGAAATGACAAGCTGTGAAATGTAAAAGAACAATTCCTTCCACATGTTTCCTTGCTCCAGGAGCAGTAAGGGGTTGTCGGCTAGCATCACGATGGGATGGGCCAGGCCTTTGCCTAGCAGTCCTGTCAAAACTAATTTATAATTAAAGACCTGTGCAACTGTTTAAAGCTTTACAACTCTGGCAAGTTTCAAGGACTGCTGAAGCCAAGCAGTACAAAGCAACCTTATTTTTAACAGCCAGGCAGGCAGACAGAAGGAATACAGACCAAAAAGTACTCTAAATTGTACAGTAACCAGATAAATTGTATTCCTGAAAATGATATTTCTGTATAATATTTATTTCTGTTATAAGCTCATAACTCAGAAACTGAAAAAATTTCAGCTGCTCTAACTTTTCTTCTGGTTGATGTATGGGGCACAAGAGCCACATGTGCTGCTGTTAGACAGCAAACCTTGTAGGGGGAGGGAAAAAAAAATTAGTTATTCGACCATTGTAAGAAAATAAGAGTCCTTAAAACCACACTCAAACAGTTGAGTTTTTTTCTTTACACTGCCAAAGTACAGTAGAGCAGGGAGGGAATGAAGGACAAGCAAACTTTCTGGAAAGAAGATGTTACAGACACAGAGAAAATCTGCATGTAGTTGCTTTGTCTAAAGACAACTGAATTAGCAGGAGTCTTTCTATATGACAAATATACCTGGCAAAGCATTAGCAACAAACATCTCTGCTAATCCAGACACTGGGAACAGTGTAGTCATGCTAACACACTGTACTCAAGTTAATATAGCCGGCTCTACTATAGCAAGATCATTCTGCTGCTGGGACCAAACTATCCTGGATACCTTCAAACACTTTCCTTGAAAATTTTGGCTGATAGCACCTCTCCTCCAACACAGCCAGCTAAGCAAAACTCTTGTCTTGATTTCACACTGTAGTGCTTGGGCTAACCTCTGCTTAAAAAGATGTACATTTGGTCATAACTATTTAGGTACAGGTAGTGATTTCTTCTGTTATTTAACCAAAAACCGCACACAACTTGTCTCAGTATCTCAATTGGCCTCAGCCACTCTTCCATCTTCTCCCATGTTAGCACACTTTTTAAGTCTTGAGTCCACGTTTTTTATGCCAGAATAGTACTGACCATAACTTCAGGACTTCATACTGGTCAATATTAAAGAGATGTGAGTCGGTAGAATGAACAAGGTTTTCCTTTGGTTCTACAAACTGCAAAGGATAAAATCATCCCTGGTTTTCTACTTGCCTATTTTATTTGATCACCATTTCTGATGGGCGCAATGGGTGTTTGCATATCAAGCTAAAGGAACAACACAGACAGAAGAGCAACCATTTGGAAAAATGTTCCCAACAAGTGCAGAGTAACATTTCCCAAATGAGCCCAAGTCTGACCTAAAAGTGTTTGAACTGGAGAACAAATATACGAGTGCTGGCCAATTACTTTTCTGAGGATGAAAGACCTGCCACTTTCAAAAAAGGCCATTACATTGACATGTTGCACATGTGAATCCTCTCTTCTGTGGACACTAGAGTCAAAGGGGATCTTGCTGTAGATTTCACAGTGAGAAAGAGTGCTCACTTGAAGGATTTGTATATTTGGTGTTTTATACGAAGAGTCACATTTCTGAAGTTTTCATGTGATTAGAAGACTGGGTTGCTTAGATCTAAGCCTAGCAAGGCAAAGTTTCTGGTAGTTGCATTAAATTCTCCTACATATGTTACTTTTATTAGAATTGTTACCACCTTCCACATGACAATGGCTAAATGAATTCCATGGAGAAATTGTCATTTATTTATTGACAAGGACTGCTGATCCCTTAATGGGGCAATAGATCCACAACAGAGGCTCTTCTTAAAAAAAGCAATGGATGGTGGTCACAAAGGGAGAAACTGTCCTCTTCCATGAACCTGTCATGGAATACCACTTCAAAAGAATGGAGAGAAGATACAGTTTAGACTAAGACACACTCTAGATCTGGTAATGTGCGTCTGTGACCTACAAAGGAGGTAGAATGGGAGGTATTACACTGCATTGCCCTGAATTGTGCTCTGGAAGAGGGATACTGTGCAGCAGGGAAGAGCCATACCTAGCCCAACACAGAGCTGTGGTTTAAAAAAATAACGTAGCCTGGAGTTAATGGAAATAATATGAAGCTTCCGTCTTAAACTTCTAAAACTAATACAAACTTGAAGTGAAGGTTAAAACACCATCTTCTAACCTGCTCTAGTTTGCTTATATGTTGCAGCACCACATACGGTATCGATATGTAAGATCACTCACTGTTTAGACTACTCCAGTAGAGTGAGTTACAGAGCACTAGTCTTCATTCAGACTGTTCTTGCTTTCTCTGGTTCATGTCTCAACCTTAATGTCACTTTTACAGAGGTTTTTTCCCCCTGCTTTTGGTGGTTTAACAGATATAATATAGCATTTATAGAGCATATCAATCTGTGACAGCTTGCCACAGATCATAAACACATTTTTCTGTTGGAAATGTTGAAGTCGTGATTTTTACCACGTGATCTCCAGTTCCCTAAGGTTTGCTCCTTTAATTGTAAATAGCCAGAAAGTCATCAAGCTAGCGTTTAATAAACTTTTAATTTGAAATGGATTACCACATGTTGTGTTTGTTTACCCATTATTAAATCTCTTAGCAACATATCACCAGCAGAAACAGCATACTGTAGCACCACATAGATACATTAAAAAACAAACCCATGGGGGTTATTAGCAGCTAATAATATCTTTAAAGAAGTCTCCAAGAAAAATAAATAAATATAAACAATAACAAAAATTACTCCTAGAAATTTTGTTAGTGCAAATATGTTTGGAATGGAAATTACAGATCTTCCATGATCATCTTATCAGCCTGTTTCAGAGGTCTGCATGCAAAATAGGACATACACTAGTGCTGTTTCTCATTTCTTATAAATACATCTTCCTGGACTTCTCAGACTGAGTATCACGAGTTTTTCCATGTTTCCAGAAGTGTGACCTATTTGTTGCAGCCTCTATCATATGTGTGTGTCCATGTGCATGAGAAGACCAATGGTAGGATCCAACAATAGTAAGGACAAGTTTGATTTGTTAAGAGCTTGTCCATAACTCTTCACTGTTGAGAAAAATTAGCTGCAACTCCACTTATGGATCTACTGTTCATGGCTTTGTGATGCATCTAGAAGCACCTTAGTAGATATGTAGAAGACACATGGTGACAAAAAGGACCTTACTCCTCAGTACAATGGATGTTTACGCTTCTGTGCTTCTGATATCAGGGTGGTTATGTAAAACCCTTTTGATCACAGTGGAGTTGCTGCTTCTCTTAAAAGTGTCACAGAGCAAACCTCATTTTCTTTGTCTCCTAAACCGTCATTCACAGTCTGAAAAATACCTCTGCTGGCCTCTTTTCATGTTATACTTCCATCCTGAGCTGCCCATTCACCACTTTGAATGATTATTGCTTATCTGCTTTCTTTCCTTACAATATCCTCCTCCTCCTCCCGTGTCTTCTACTGTGCATCACTGCTGCTGCCCTCAAACGCCTGAAGAAACTCTGTCCTGAAGAACTAAAATCTCCATTTCAGACCTGCACATAATAGTGACACAGACACTGCAACCTGTGGGCTGTTTGCATCCTTCAGTTCATTAAACACAAGGGAATATAGGAATGTCTGTACACCAAAAAAAAGAATTCTTTTAGTCCATGGCAGTCAGATCCCACATGCTGAAAAAGAAAAACCAATGGCTGCATCCTGCCATTCCTCTCATTCCTGGGTTTCTAACAGAAGAGGAGCAATTTCTGAGTCCGTTGCAATATGGTCATTTATGTCTTCAATGTAGCTATATCAGGAGACTCACAGAGGCCAGGGAGGATACTCAGTGCAAAAGTAACATTCAGTGATCTTTTAAGAAAGCTTCTGGGGATGTCTGTTGCACATAAGCAAATAATAATTTGTCTTTTCTATGGATTATCACTTCATTGAATCTTAATGGAATTTACAGGAGTAGCATAAGGCGTGCCTTTGATGCCAGAACAAATTTGAAGTCCTTATTCTAGACCAGGGAGGTGCTAGAGTTCTCCCAGAAATAATCAGACCAAAAAAAAACCTTTTCTTTTTTATTTCTTCCTGTAAGCTTGGTGTCATAAGCAGCTGAACTGTTACTGCTGCATTATTCAGCCTCAAGCAGAGGCCAGCATGGAAAGTTTCATCCTCAGCAATGAGGCTGGTTTAAATTGCTCACAACTGAAAACAAAGTTAGGCAACATTAGTAAAAAGAATCACAGTATTCCTGCTATAACACGTTGGACCAACATCTGAATAAGGAAAATCTAGCTTAACAAGAACAATAATGACTAGCCAACACTGAAATGAAACTGTGGGTTGCTCCAATAAAAGCCTGAAAGTTTAAACCCATCACCTTGTGGTCCAGACTGTTCAACCTTCTCTGAAACACCATTCTTTTCAGCAGCACTTGAATACACAAGAAGCTCAGGTGGGAGATGAAGGTACGTGTCACACTTACTTTGTTTATCTGAATCCTGTGGTAGTTTAATTACCTATTAAGAACAAAAAAAACCCCACATGAACATAAGCAGTTCAGTATTCCACAAAGCCAGAACATACTAGTTTGTACTGTTTGTGAACCCTAGAAGTCCAAGCTGCTGCTGTGAGGATTTTAGGAAGTTTTTGTTTCTCTGTGCTCCGTTTACTACAGTTTTCTCATATCAGTTTCCTTTGTACATCTTCCCCATGCTTACAGAGTAAAGCAGACATCCCAGTAGATGGGGACAACTCACAATCCAAATTTAGAATTGTCTGGGAAAATATAGATTCCCCAGACCATTAAATCATCCCAGCTTATATACGGAGCTGAAAGACTAATTTTTCAGCTTTAGGGTCTCCTCCCCGCACACCCCTTTCAACTAATTTTGACTCTTCTGTTATTTTTTTACCATAGCTCTAATGTTGTTTCTGATGTCCTCTATCTTAGGTATATTTTAAATTCTTATATGTCTACATGATTCTAAAGTTATTTTCACTTTCTTTTACACTTGGTAGATCCAAAAAAAAAAATTGGCTGAAGACCATCACTACAAGAAAATTAATAACTACACTTTCTATTAAGTAAACTCACATGTTAAAATTAAGATTTTTTCAGAATTCATCTCTTTTGATAAGGGTTTCTTCCTGAGCCAGATGTGAACTATAAAAAAGGTGTAATTTTGAGAACTTGTTAAGATTCTGAATGAGGGAATGTATCTCAGTTACAACAACATCCTTTAATTTGCAAGTCCAGAAGCAAAGCTTCCACTAAAGAGTTCTTAATTCGGGCCCATTTTCATCAAAGACATTAAAAATATTTCACATCTGAATTATGTCCAAAAACGATTCAAAAGTAATGTTCCTATCACAACACAGCCTTCCTCTCTAGCTGGGGATCCCAGACATACAAATGCAACAATATCGATAAATAACATTATCTTGTTTTGTAGCCATGTGAAAGCACCTCTAAGATTCACTAAAACTGTGGAAGAAATCAACAAGTAGTGGTGGCAGGCTTAAACTCAGAATTTTGTATTTTGATACAATGTTTTCATCCAATTACTATGCACCCCAAACAATAGCTTGATATTTGAAATAATCTTAAAATTTTACTATAAAACCCCACTAATTTCATGTAGATGTTGGACATGCACGTGATTTTCATTTTCTTTATATGCCTGCTGTGTAGGTTGATAAACTTCTTGGAAAGATGGTATTGCTTTTAAGGCTGACAGAAGGAAAGTAAAATCTGTTCTGAGGAACAGTGACTAAACCAACAGGCCTAATTTTTTTAAACACAAACCTGAAAGTAGAGATTGCATAACCAATGATCCAAGTCTTGAGAAATAAAATCTTCGATTTTTTTAAATCTGTCAACTTTGATGTCATAATGGCCTCTGAGAAAGGGACATTTAAATTTTCCCTCCAAAGTGTTAAAATTGTTGTCACACAAGGGAAAAGCTCCCCATCCCACTTCCCGATCAATCCAAGTACAGGTCCCACCAAGGAGGAAGAGTTCAAAGAGGAAGACCATGCCTGGCTTCACAGCTTTTCTAGGTGGCAGAACCTAGCAAAGGAGGAAAAAAGAAGACTTATTGGTTATAAAAACATCACAAAGGAAGCAGCTTACTTTTGTCCTGTAAAGCTCTACAAACTTCGTACCTTTGAACCAACTCTGCATGCTAAAACAATTAACAACTCTTCTCTTTCCACCAAATCACTTATTTGAACAATTTTCCACTCTGACAGAAAATGTTGTGCTTTTTTTTTCATGATAATTTTGTGATTTCTTTTTTTCTCTTGGCTTTATGAAAGTGTTCATCTTCTGTCTGTATTTACCAGTAGTGGAAAAACATTGCAACTAGAAAACTTTAAGACAGAGTAACAAACCAGCTTGGGAATCTGAGGTGTCCGTGTGAGGGCTTACTGAGATTCACCCCTGGGTTCTTCTTGCAGCGACTTTGGAGAGTTCGTCCAAATACCCAGCGAGACACTTGCAGACTTGCCCCTCACTGACTCATAAACTCTTCTCCACCCAGTTCTGGGAATGATATTGGTACACAACAGCCTTCCTTCTTCAAATTAAAGCAGAGAAACTCTTCTTGCAAAGTATGTGAACCTCAGGGTAGGGTCAAAAATGATTCTGAGGTAGTAAACTCTCAGGATACCAAAGAGCAGCAAATACTGTTTACACTTTTCATAAGATAGCCAGAGATACTCTTCTGAGCAGCTTGAATCTGTGGAAGAGGGTTCCCAATGCCTTAGGGCCCTGGAGCAGTTGTGTTCCCATGGCAAAGACTTGAAAATCAGGGGTGAAGAAACACCCCGAAGTAATGAATTTATGTAAATCCCTCTGTAAGGTTTGCTGTGTGAAGCAATACAAGGTCACGGAGAAGAGAGTAGAGACGGAAGCAGGACAAAGAAAAAGAAATCTGGTCTTATGCTACAATTTTGACTGTTTTCTTTGATTGATGTGGGGGTTGACCCCAGTCCTCTTGAACAGCTGTAATGCATTCAAAAGGGCAAATAAATCAAAAACCATACAAAAGCTAGAACATGGGAGATGACTACCATCATACCCTGGCTAACAGCTCTGAAGCATAATCACCTGGGGACAAGGGGAGAATATGTCAGCTGCACCTCTCACAACAGAACATCTGTTTCACCACTGCTCCTAGACATTCTTCTGGATTATAGAGAACAGGGGCTGACTTACCTCTTAAATAAACTATCTTGGATGCTTCCCTAATACAGAGATTATTCTGTTATGTGAATATTTTCCATCTTTTATTGTCCCATTTCAGTCCTCAATGTTCACAGCAGTGAATGCCTTGGTACATTTGCCTTGCAGAGACTCCTGCTCAACCTTACCCTTCCCTTGTGTCAAGGCAGAGAAAGAGGAGCCTTTTCTCCTTGTCTCCTCCCTGTGTATTGGTATGTACTTGTAGAAGACCACAACATTCAAGGGCATCCTCTGACTGAGTGTCTTGTAGGATATATCCCCAGTACTTTTTGAAATTCACAATAAGGTCCCCAAATAAGAGACATCTATCCAAACTGATCACCCACTATTAAAAGCCTAAAATGCCAAATTCTTAAATTAGCAGGGATTTCTTTAATCAGATGACATTCTGCAGCTGGTAACCAGTCACAAATCTTTACTGCTTTAAATATTTCTGCACATAAGCACACACCTCACACATCTCCTTCTTGACTGATATTTTTAAATACACACATCACTTTTTTATACTCCTGATTGAACAGTAGGCAAGATAAGAAGTGCAATTCAGGTACAACCAAGCTTTTTCTCTCTCTCTGTCTGAAGCAGCTAAGGGATTTACCCATACCAGCAACCGCTATGTTAGGAGGTGATACATATTCGTAGTTGTGCTCCATTCTTTAATTTTTTTTGAGGAGGTGAATATAAATTATTATTTTAATAATATGCCTTCCTGTTTCAAGTTATATATTGTGATTAGATAAAGCAAGAGAGAGGAAATCATTTAAGAAGATATTTTAAAACTATAAATATTGTCATTATTATGTAGGTGTACTTTATATTAATTATGTAAATACATTCTAAGACTTAGTGTAGGCTTAAAATGAAACAGAAGCATCTGTTGAAAAATGCCATAACCCTGTGGCAGCTGCTATTAAACCATTAACAGTATCAGGTTTCATTTAAACCAGATTTACCATTTTCTATAACAGCCCGTGGGAAAGCTAAAAACATTAGGCACAAATTACTGACAAAAGAGATCCTTAATCAAGCCATACATTTCATTTGGCTAGCTGGGTGCTAGACAGTAACCTCTGTGATACAAATTAAAGGTGGTGGTTACAAGGGTATGATCAAAGACAATTACCTGCATTATTGAACGATCCCAAAGCATATGCAGCTGAAATCACTGCCGTATACAGCATCCCTTTCAGTTTATGCCTTGTTTCCCAGACTTACTCTTTCGTTTAGAATAACTTCACAACACACTCTCTTCTGCCAGCCTGACTACAGACAACAGTGAGGCTGTTCATATAAGGGTAGTTGTGACTACTAAAAATTAATTTCTTTCTTTCCTGCTCTGTTATTCTTCATCTGCTGTAAGCTGCCATCCTGGACCAAGGTGCAAACTCCCTCTTTGAGACTGGAAGCATCCCTTTGCTTATAGTTACAGGAGCTGGATATTTAAGCCGTGCCATGACTAGAGGAGAAATATGTAACTGTTCTCTCTCGTAAGAGACTTGAGGCAGCGCCTGGGAAGGACAAGGCACAGGCAGCTCAAACTGACCAGTTTGTTCTGATGGACCGTTCTGTTTCTGAAGAAAAAAAAAATAAAAAATCAGCAGTTATATTTTCACTGCTGGCAACAACCTCTTTTGAGGCACTATTTGGTAAATTAGTTCACAAGCCTGCACCAACACTGTTGGTGTTCAAAGAGACCATACTACATAAATACAACTTCTTGGGTTTTAAGGGGTCTACTCTAACACCTTAGCTCACTGTTTCTCCTTGCTCAGGTAAAATTTCCATTGCGGCCTGTGAGGTATATAGTCTTTTACAGTGCTCTGAAAGCATCCAGTGTCCACTTTTTACTGGTGTAATTTCTTCTGCAAAGAGACATGCAGCAGAGAATAAATAATGCTTGTGTGTGTTTTCACAGGCACAAGTAATTCTTCTTAGTCTGCAGTTAACAGTGTTGCATTTAATTGATTTAAATCATAGTGAACTAAAATTATGTCTCGCCTCTATTTCTGAATTCAACTGTTTTATATCAATTTTATTGTAATCTTTCTTACTTCCCCATATGCCACCGTAATTCCACCAAAGAAATGGTTTACTCTAGAGAAAAATGAATTCTATTTGAATATTTCAATAAATCCAGTGTGAAGATTTGGGGATTTTTTTGTGATTTAATCTTGGGCTTTAACCTTGTCAGAGAATAAATAAACCTCTGCTTCTCTCCTCTGCACCTTCAAATGCTTTCAATTTAGAAGAAAAAGGACAAAAATTACACTACTTAATTCACATAACACGAAAATTTGACCGCTAAACACATACAACTCAAATGGATTAAAGTGAATAAGAATATGCAAGGGTATTATATAGGAAAATCTTGCAAAACACCATGTAAATTAACAGCTTATCATTTCTGATTATGAAAACTGCAGCAAATGAACCTCACTGGTGTAAAACATGGGTAGAAAACCTTGTAAATAGGAAGTAGCTCCCATCAAACTGTTTCATCAATAAATAAAAAAATTGATCCCGTAAAATTACTGGAGATGAGGCTGTTATTGCCAAAATAAGGTGGAGCTTTCACAACCAGATTTCAAGCCCTCCCTGATTACATGCAAGGCCAGCAAACAGGCAGAGGAAAGGGCATTCTTAGGAAGTGTCTGTGTAACTTCGAAATTTATAAAAGGTCAGAGGAGGGATATAGAAACGTCGACTGAGGTAAAAATAAAATACCATGTTATTAGGGTTTTCCAAAAGTCCTATTTATCATCAGAATGTCCTGGAGTACCTGGAAACTTACTTCCCCAGCTTTCCATCGCTGCCTGTCTTTGAACAGGTATCTGAATACAAAACAACACACAAATCAAAGGAGTACCATGCAGCGCATCGTTCATTTCACCATATATATATACATATATATATATTTTGGGTTTTTTTCTATATTCTGAAAAAGAGAGCAGACCTTTCAAGCCTGACACAGGTCAAACAACTCCCTTACTCCTCTCCCTGCAGCTTCCAGATCTCCTTAAACCTTTATGCAGTACCAACATCTTTCCTGTGATCCCTTATCCCAACCTCCCTGATCCTTGAGGAGTATGGACCAGAAGTGGTTGCAGCGTAGCATCAAGCTTAGGATCACAGGACAGCAGTATCTGCAAGCAGGCAATATATTCACCACTCTCAGTCCCGCAGCAGTGACAGCAAGCAGGATTTCTTGTGATAAACTGTGTCAAAGCACCCCAGCGCCATCCCAGAGCCACACCGATGGAAACAGCTCCTGCCCTCTCCCATGCTACCAAAGCAGCGATTCCCTACTGCCTCCCATTCCTCTAGGAGACATAACTCAGGGTGTAGTTAACTGCAGCAGCGTCCCATGCAGCACAACTACCTTACACCAGAGGACCAGAATCTGTCCTTTTATCTTCCCAAATACAGGGGAATAATGTTTGCATTCTGTGAGCTTTAGCCTCTGCATCTGTTGCTAATTGTCCTGGCACATCTGCTGCTAATTCTTTTCTGTTCTTTGACCAGCAGGGAGTAGTAATGTATGGTACAGCCAGCTCTAGCCTCCCTGAGCTTTTCTGGTGATATACCGCTGGCCTGGGCAGATTCTGACCTCATCTTGTGAGGGGAGAAATTTTGTAAAAGGAAGGCAGGACCCCGGTTCCCTCTCCTGCCACTCCCGTCTCATTTATTCCTGAGATTCATTTCAGCACGGTCAGAGCATGAGTTTCCTGAGATAACATAGGCACCAACACGAAACAGCAGTTTATTTCTTTTGTGTCAAAAGGACACGTACTTTGCTTAGAAACCACTCTGAGCCAAGGAGTCTC